AAGTTACTTCACCACACAGAATATACATGATAAAAAAAACTACATATGAGTTGACTTATTCAAGGCCTGTATTTAAATGCTGATGAACTAGTAACATAAATGTCAAGATCCAGTTGTAATGATTACTATTGTTGACTGAATTCTTTTGGATTATTCAGTAAAAAGAATAATGCAAAATCTGGTCCACTTAATGATTGCAAAAAATGTTTTATTTCTTTAAGTTCTACATTTAGCATAACACATGATTGATAATAGGTTTAGGTTTTACTTTGTAAATAAGCTAGTAACAGAAACTCCTCTTACTTGCTAATTTTAAATCTATATCTCTGTTCCTTCATCCAAACACAATATTTAAAGCTGACAGTAACAGGTAAAATGACCAAATCATGCGCTGATTACTGAATAACTGATTCAATAATCCAATCTAGCTGCACACACTTTTTATATATGGTGCAAATTGTTTTCTAAATTTTCAAGATGGTTCTAGTCATTAACTGCACAATTCTCAGAAAATAAAATTAGTTTTTTTTTAAATTGGCATTTGGCACCATACGTATCTCTCTCTCTGATACTAGAATGCTTGATTTATAAGGGTTTTATGAACTTAAGAAAATAAAAAATTGGTTATAAAAAGTTATTTAACAAATGATGATGATGACAAATTTTTATGGCCTCAAAAAACAAACTGAGTATAAGAGATCACATCTTTAACAACAGACATACTGAGTGTTTGGCTGAAAACACCATTATTACTATGGAATTCAGGTACTCTGATGTCTAGCAGAGAAGCCAAAAGATACCCAGAAAATGCAAGTTCAGGACAGTTAAACAAACAATAAAACTGCACAGGTATAACAGAGGAAATCAAGCAAACCTCAGTGTATACTGAAACAAAAAATTCTTTACTTACAACACATTAAGTTACCAGAACTGACTGGGCTTCATCTGTATCACCTGGGTTGTGGGGTTGAGGCTTACAAAACAAGAGACAAAAACCAAGATACAAATAAAGAGAAATCAACAGAACTATGGAAATACCTGACTCAAATATCCTAGTGAAACAATTAATGAAAGATAGGTATCCCACAAGTCCATAGAATTCAACCAATGGGTTGCCTAAAATCCTAAGCTACCCAAACCATCTGGTACAGGTTTCTGTATTGCCTGTTTGAGTAGGCTACCTTCCAAGAAGTCCATACAGAAATACATACATGCTAGCTTGAGACTTGAAAACAAAGATTTCAGTATATAAAAAAATGAAATTCATGACTATTTCAGTGATTACATTAGCAAGGGTACTTAATTGATGACTTAACCTAATTAAATTTAGTAACCAGAAGTTTTATGAGCTTTCACTTTTACATTTAAATTAATACTATTATTTTTTATATCTATGTTGTCAGTGTATTTCTAGTTAAATATAGTTTGTTTTACACTACAATTTCCACATAACCAAATTGTAAGTTTATAGCTAGATTATTTTCAAATCCACTTCTAAGTTAACCTTAATTAGATATTATAATTCCATTTGGTTAACTACGTGGTATGCAGGATACCACATATTTCACTCTCCCCCAAAAATTATGTTTACAAAGTTTTTGTATTTTGATACTCCATGGGTCAAGACTTGTTGATGAAGTCACATCTTTGTCTCTGCATCTTTTGATACCTAATGAATGTGCATGTTTTAAGTTAATAAGGTAATATCAACAAATAAGGTTTTAGTTCTGTAAAAGTACAGTGTTTTTCATACTACTCTTATTTAAATACAGTTTTCAATTTATCTAACCAGTTTATTTTCTTTTAAATCTGCCACAAATCTACCATTATTGCAGGTCATCTTCCATGTCTTGATTCTTTAACTCTATTTGCAACAGATTCATTCATTATCTTTGGAAAAATCGGATGAATGTGTGCTTGGTTCATCCTGAATTTTGGAACACCATAACTTGGGTTAGTTTTACATTATTTTCTAGGCTTGAAAGATATTTTTAAGACACTTATATTTACATATGCTATATATATATATATGTAAGAAAACACTGGAATATCAGACTTTTTCCTTTTTCTTTTATTAATTTTTTCCTACCAGTTTCATGACTTTAAATGTCACTCTTCAGGAAAAAGTTACTAAGACTTACAGAAAAGAAAACATTCTCAATAAAACTATTTCTTGAAGAGTGACCTTTGAAGTCACAAAACCTGTAGAAGAAATTAATAAAAGAAAAGGAAAATAAAAGTCTGATATTCTAGTGTTTTTTATTCGTATCCATAGGTGAATCTTATTGACATTTTGGTCATACATCTGTGTGTTTGTGTATTATAACATGAATTTCTGCTTGAAACAAGAGTACAGCACTATGTAAATATACCATTCTTACATCACTACTTATAAAGACAAGAATGCATTGTTTTATCAGTAAATTACCCTTGCTGTTACTGATAATTTTGGCCATTTAATATTTATATTTATGTTAAGAAATTATTGCACTGTCTCCAGCATTTATCTCATAAATAATCACTTGTTACATCTTTCTTCTTTACTGTAGTATCATATGTACAGTATCAGTTTTAAGTTAATAAGTATCAAAATCCATAAATTGAATGTTTTATTATTTTAGCCCTAACTTATTCCCTCTAAAATTTCAAAACAATATATATATATATATACCTGGGGAGTTGGAAAATTTTTTCCAACAGAAATCTTCTTAGGACCCAAATAGAATGGGGTGTAAGTGCTCTGGACATCCAGACCAACTAAAAGAAAAGGAATAACACATAAAGTGTAGAAACTGCTTTAAGCAAATATTCAGCAATAATAATAATAATATATTTTTTAATTTAACTCGATAAATCAAAAAATTCTTATTTATATCTGAGAGAAGAAAATGTTCATTGGTATCTTAAAAACTGAAATAAACACTTTGTTCATTCTGGTATAATTTTTCTCCTGGTTTTGTTAACATATAAAGTAACTGATTGAAGACACATTTAAAATTTCAGTCCTCAAGGAATTGGTATCATCTTACATCTGATTAATGTTTTTATATATTTAAGGGATGTTCTGGTACTAAATATTTTATTTTTAATTTATAGCATTATTATTTATTTCAGCATACCTTTATCTTTATCAAGCTGCTTTTTAGACTTAATGCTAAAACAAGATTAAAAAAAACACAATTTATTCTGCTACAAGAAAATAATTATTGTATCCAACAGTCTTATTTATATCTTGCACACAAATTTTCATGTGAAATCAATGAATATATCTCAACATTTTTTTCTGTAGTGTATGACAAGTTTTAAACTAAGTGACATCTTACTTCAATTGAATCAAATAAAAAATGCACATCTGAAAGCAAAATATAAATATTGTATCTTATGTATATATAGTGTTAAACAGAATTATTTATTGATGTATGAACTGTAGAAGAAAAATTCTGAGGAACGTATCTTTGGGACTATTCTACAAGTTTTATATTATGTTATACCAATTAAAAATAATATACTATTAAACTTATTACTCAACTACTTTGATTTTTCTATTCATTAATTGCATTGATTTTAGATTTAACAGAATTTTTAAGAAACACATTTTTCAATGTTAAGATAGAAATCAAACTAACCGTAGTGCTCACTAATTAGATTGACAGAAAGCTGATCCCCTTTTGAAGCACGCTGTACTTCAAATTTCCTCACCCATTCTTTGTTTTTTATTAACAAGTAGTCACTAAAAACAAATATATTTTATGTTACAGAGTTTGCAACTGATTTTTAAGTCATCAGAAAATTATACGTTAATACTGTTCAACATTAATATTAACATGTAAAGTTAGGAAAAGTGAGCTAATTGATATAAAAACAGTTATAATTTCACAGGCAAAATCTGTGAATGATAGGTAATTCTGATAGTATCTTGTATTGACTCTAATGGAAAGTGAAGGTTTAGCAACATACATAACTTGATGTCTTATAATTGTGGAGCTTCATCTCATTTTTGTACTACAAAAACATATATAAAAAAATAATTTTCATAAAAACAAATCTCAAAATCGTTTATTACCAAAGTACAAGCAATTTCTGGAATTCATCAACTTATTTCTTTGTACCATTAAAATGCATTCATTTTACAATGAACTTCTACCAACATCATTCCACTACAGATCTTTCTAATAAAGTTTCTGACAAGCAGCCTTTTCTTCTACAATTTATTTAGAAAGACATTTGTAATTCTAAATATTGTATTTATAAACATAGTTACATCATATAAAATAAGATCATGTAATTAGAAACTGGTATCATTGTCATATACTCTTCAACTTCTCAGCCCTATACAGATGGTTATGAGTCCCTAGCTATTTTCTGGAATAAATTATTCACAAAATACATTGCATGAAATTTCAATTTATACAGTAAACAGAATGTATCTACCATTGAAGTTTCATCTGTTAAATGTTAGACACTCAATTTGTCTTTTCCTAACTTTTAAAGGAATCACTGACACCAACATGGCTCTCAGAATGGATTAATATTGAAAAAAATGTAGAAAAAGATAGTATACACATGTAAATATCAGGACTTCCTAAATATTTTGGTCATTTATTCTAAAAAATGTTATCAGCTGTCAGTAACGCAGACACAGAATAACAGAAAAAAAACTGAACACTAGATAACTAAATTAGTAAATCTCTGAGCCACAATTAAAATGAAAAACAGAATTACATTATATTGCCAAACATTCTGATGTTGCTATTTAGAAGTTACGTAGATTTATCCAATATAAGGAAACTTTAAAACTTTACATTAATGAAAATATTTTTGAATTCTAAGCCTTTTCTTGTAACATATTTTTTTCCCTATAAAACTAAAGATTACCCCCAAATGACAACAGTACGAATACACTCAATAAAGTAAATGTAATACAAAATTTGCTTTAAATATCTATGTGAAATAAAAGGAGAAGACCAAGAAAAATAATATACATAAGAATGTATTTAAAGAAAATAGTGTTCATGCTTTGGAACATTATAAAAAAATCCTTATTAGGAATTTCTTTAAGAGTTTGTCTTAACCCTTTTTATTCTTCATTTTAGCTTTCACTGCTTATGCTTATGGTATATATATATATATATATATATATAAGTTCATTTTATCTTTGCAAACTGTAGTACAGAGAGTACCTTAAACTTTTAACTTATTTATTTTTCTCTTTCCTACTTACAGGTATGTTAATGGTCTAGTAATTAACTATTTCATATACATTTATGAACAAACATAATCCTGATAAAAATGATAGAATGAAGGAAATGTCTTAGATTCAGTAACTAATTCAAAACAGTTAAATGTTTAACTGTGTTTTAAAGGCATAGGTGCAAGCCTTAATTATTTAATAAGAACATATTCAATGATTATTACTTGACGCTTATCTACGTAACAAACACTAAACCCCAAAGTACTTAAAACTGCAAGATGTCATTTCAAGCATATCCTATAATGCCTTAAATGAACAATACCTTTCTTAGCCTTGCACTCATGGCTTTAATTCACTGCCATTAAATTGTCAAATACCAAATTGTTCTGACACTTCTAAACAGTAAATATGAAAATAAACTTGATATTATAAATAAATTATAAATTATGATATTTTCAACTGAATTACCTAAAACTAACATTGATAAGAGTAATACCTTATGAAATGCCACACATGCAGTATTTACACTCCTTAGAACTGAATTAGAAATATTAGAATATTCTTATATATATTGCAAACCATAGTGTCTGTCCAATCATTCGTCTGTCTCCTGTTTGCAAAGCAGTGCATGCAGGCAAAGCTTAACATTCACTTTTGAAATGACAGGAGAACAGGCATGAATAATGTTGATGGCAAATTTCATTTTGCAAGCAGGATATTCTACACTAAGTTGTTAGGAATTAATCACACTATCATTCACATTTCAAAATGTGATGTAACGTAAAGAATAAAAAATGTATATTTACTGTATATTATTGTTGAGTGGCTCTCAGTATGACTGAAATACTCAACAATTACTTTTCAAGATGGATGGTATAAGTAGCTCAGAGCTTTTTAAAGTCCATGAAATAATTTGAATTGATTGATTAACTTAAACTTTTCCCGTCACTGGGGACGGGTACTTTTGCTAGATTAACTTACTTTTTTAATCACTGGAGATGGGTACTTTTGCTTGTACTTCATAAGTTAGAAACAATTAACAATATTATTGCAGATGTGTAATGGTTTATATTGTTGGGTGGGTTCTTTTGGATTATTTGGTAAAAATTAATACAGGGCCAAATCCAAATAATAATAATTTTATTTCTCTTACCACAAGTTCTTCAAATTCACCAAGCAATAAACCTAACTTCACAAACAGCAAAATTTGATTACTTACACAAAAATATTGTTTTATTTCATTTTGAGCATGTTAAAAGACAAAACCTCTGCAAGCTGAACTGGGCAGATATTATTCAAGAATGACACTGCCACAGTATAATGTGTGATTAATTTTCAAGGCATCATGCATCATAGATGTAAATACAGAGACACCATTCACAATTATAGTTAACAAGCCTTATGTAAAATCCATTAATGTATGCATCGTAGGCAATAATATTCACTTTGTCTGCAATGTATTAACTTTATGTTCAAAGTGAAAAAATGACAGCGTAAATTTATTACAGTATGTACTTTTTTAGCTTGCACCTATGCAAAGCTGTAATAATGTATACTATGTGTCAGTGCATGCTTGTTACAAGCATACATGCATCATTCTCTTTTTAATAGAAAGTGATAAAAATAACTATAGAGCATATTTTTAAATAATGTGTAAGTGAATGCTTTTCCTTATCAGCAAGATGGCAGCCATCTACCAACATATGCATGATTTGTTTTGGTTTTGTGTACTTTGCCAAATATGTAAATTATAGCTTAAAAATTATTTTCTCTAAAAAATGTGGGTGCCCATGCACCCAGCCTGTTTATGCCCCTGAAATATGGCCTACAACAATATGAATATGCTATGGTAAGAATAAGAGCTAATACAAGCTCACATATTATCCTTTGGTATTATTATGTTTTGCACTGATAATACTTTATCTCCTTAAATTATTTTTACAAATCCATACATTTCATTACAACAGAAAACATAGTGACAGATTACATTCCAGGTTTATATTTGAGTAATTAAACCTTACTGGGTAATATGTGTGTTTAGGTTTATTAGTTGTGTTTCACAGGAAAAACTCTTTACATTTAAGTATGACAAAATGTGATATAAATGTGAAAATCCAAAGAAGCCAAAAACAAAATATATAGATGATTATATTGAACAAACATTATACAGAATGTTTAAATATTTTAAAATGTAGTAGCTTTTAAGCAAAAAAAGAAAGTATAATATAATCAATTATATGTTGGACTATGTACCCTTATAACTAATACCACCTCCATTTAACCTCAGTGCACTCCAAGATAACTTTGCCATTTGTCAAACACTTTGAATAGCACATGTTCTGAAATTGCATCACTTTCCCCTACTACCCTTGAGATAGCCATGTGCTTCATATAGTTCAACCTATAGACTTCATATGTCCCCACAGCTAAAAGTCTAATGGCCTTATATCTGGAAATGTGGCATCCAAAATAATGATTAATTTAGCAATTTTGGTTGGACATCATCCAGTTCCTCATAATAGTACCCCATTTTTATGGAAGAAATATATGCCAATAACATGTTTATAAAAAAGTTCTAGTGTCTTCACTTATGTTGGATTGTCCTCCATAGGAAAAACAAATCCAGCATTCCTGAAATACTTGTACCATTGCTTATAACCATATTATTTGATAGTATCCATGCATGATAGATGAGTCAGAATTGGTACTACATGAAAACAACATGCTTAAATTCCATACTTCAAAGAATCCATGTTTTTCTGATGAACAATCACTATTTTTCACATTAAAACATTTTCTCGTGATGATAATTAGATCAAAATTTTCAAAACAAATTACAACTTCAGGGTTTTATAAATCAACATGTACTGCACTTCATATCTTTAACCTCCTTCATTTTAATATTAATGAATTTTACAATGTATAAAATAATTTGAAAGAGGTATTTCGCTTAGATGGTTGAAGCAAAAATAAAATATTATGCAAGCTGTATGTTTCCATTCTTTAAGTCTTTGCTTTATTGAAATTATTTTCCAATTTCAAACCATTACTCCTAATACAATTTTTATATGCCCAGAAGATGCTCCACGAACAACAACAATACTTGGTAAGTGATAATTAAATGATAATATGTTATGGCAAGAATAGGAGAAGCTGATATTATCCTTTGATTTTATTATGTTGTTACTGACAGCATTACCACCTTAAATGATTTCATTACAAATTTACTTCCAACAAAGAAACAGTTATAGGTTATATTTGAGGTTTATATTGATCTTATATTTGATAAAAAAAACAATTTAGGCTTTTGTTTCATTATAAGAGAACTTTTCTTCACATGTTGTATTCATACACTATGAATAAAATTATAAAAGTGTTACATTTTACATAATATAAAAACTAGAAACAGAGTTATCAGTGTAAGGTCTAATATTTTCTCAATTTTCTAACCTTATTAGCAACAACTATAAAAGTGTTTTAATATATGTGTAAATTTAACAGCACTGAACTGTAAATATTTTATTCATATCAACCAAACTTAAAGATATTTATCAAATCAAAAATGATAGAAAAAGATGTACAGTAAGTATATAGGTAGTAAAATTAAATTACTGGACTCAGTAATAAAAGTTACATAGAACATGAACAGCAATTACAAAGAATATGCCATATAACCAATTCAAATACCTGATGCGTTGCTTAAGAACTACTTTGTTATCAGTATCTCCTATAATTAGCTGACTAGCATGTTTTTCAGGAGCTGTATGTCTATTCTGAAGTTTATTCCAGTTGCTGAGTGTGAGTGTAATACAAAGATCAGCTTGAAAGCTGCTGTAGCGAGCTCCCTAAAAGAGTTACATCAATATATATATATATATATAAATACAGAATTAGTAATTTCTTACTGTAAAAAATATATCTCAGTAGTATGTTCATTCTAAAGTAAACCTATAATTAAAACCTTGACTGAAAATTATGCAAATGTAGTGTGGTTTACATATTACTATATATTCTTCTTTACTCATAAGTTCTTAGAATTATTAATGTGTTGTTGTTTTCCCCCCTGCTAATGCTACAGTTCTTTGACCCAATCTGAAAACAAGAAGACTAGCTTTGGCAGTTCTTCTTCAATCAAAGTAATAATACTAGATAATTGGTGCTGAATATAAAATAAAACATATCAATAATATTGTGCTATTAATTCTTACCATAATTCTGATTTGTAAATAACTTAAATAAAATTGATAATAATTACAATTCAAACCATAAAAGTTTTTGTTCGTGAAATTGGTGATATAAATAGCTCCCCAACTAGTACTATGTTTGTCATATCACAGCTGACCTACTGTGCCCTAATATTGGTCAAAAGGTCTCATCGGCATTGAATATGGCAGATGTAGTATGGTTAACATATTATTACACATTCCTCTGTTTCACTCATAAGTCCTAAGAATTACAAATGGTGTAGATTAATATCTAACTTTCAATAAATAATTATTTCACTCCAGAATTCATCAGTCGAGAGAAGTAACATAAAAATACTCAAAACGTTAACACAAAGAAGTCTCTTTACAGATCTCTGTAATAACCATACATATGTCTAAGAAATTAGTTGAATTTTTTATAACAAACTTTGAAATCTTCTAAACTAAAAAACACTTTCTTAAGAATTATATTTGATGAAAAAATGAAGTCATAAAAAAATAAAACCTATGGTTAATGGATGGAATAAGCAAATTAAATTCCGAAGAACATGTTTAGTTTGGAAAAATAACTTATGTAACCAGGATGTGATATGATATATTTGTTTTTTTAATGCTTTCCAACTATCTATGATAATACAAAGCTGTTGCTGACCCAGGACAACTTTGCATTCTAAACTAATTTCCTCTACTTTTAAATCACTGAAAGAATATTGAATTACAGAATAGTTTTTTTTATTAATTACAACTAAAGTATGGTCAATAGTAAATGGATACACTAAGAATAGTTTACTGATTAATACTGACCACAGCTCTACATCCAGTATACTTGATGCTTACATTAAACATTATGGGCAAACTAAAATTCATTGTTGAATTTTTTTCTTGTAAATCTTAAAATTGAAACCAATTAAAAAAATATATATTTCTAACAAAGATTTTGGGATTTCCTTAGTTAATTTTTCATAGAAACAATGTGTTTTTGATTCCTAGCTGTTTTCAGCTATTCATCCAATAACATAAGTCTGTATTGAACCTATAAAAAATGTTCTTCTCAATTATATAGGTCAATTTATCAGACTTTGTCACGTTGTTATTAAACCTTTCCTTCAAGCACAACTTCAACTTAACAATAGGTGATTTTACTAAATTTTCCTACCTCAGTAGAAAAAACATTAAAAATTATCAGAAAAGAACAGAATCTACTTAGTAATAATAGAATTGTTTTTTTTTGTTATCTTGAAATTTCCTTTAAGTCAGAAAATACTTATGATACAGTAATTGACTATTTTGTTTATTCAATATTAAGAAAATAGTTAATATTCTACATGATCTGTTTGTCTGGCAATATCTCATGGTCACTCTGAGAAGAATAAGAGTTAACATTGTACGAAACTGAAAATCTAATTTTTCAAGAAGTTTTGAAATATTTCATCTTGTCTGTTACACAATCTTAGTAAAATGTAGCAACAAGCAATCTGTAGTAAAACTAGAAATATTGTTATTGGAGTTCTATTACAGCCAAGATTATTCAATAATTAATGTATGTATCTATATAAAAGTGAAATATCAGTGTGATATTCATAAAATTAATTACCTTACTCAAAAAAGACCAGGCTCGCCAATAGGGGGGGAAAAGGGGCAACTGCCCAGAGGCCTGGGTGAATGAAGCCTGGTTATGCCATAAATCCCGCAAAGTATCTTTAGGCTATATCTTCATTTAATGATAAAAACCATAGTTTTTGACTTTTCTT